AAGGAAGGAAGGAAGGAAGGAAGAAAGAAAGAAAGAAAGAAAGAAAGAAAGAAAGAAAGAAAGAAAGAAAGAAAGAAAGAAAGAAGGAAAGAAAGAAAGAAAGAAAGAAAGAAGAGACAGACAGGCAGACAGGCAGACAGACACACAAGAGAAGAGCTGTAGAAGAAATACTTCTGTGCTTTAGTTCCTTGAACAAACATCCCTTACCATCTAAATAAAGAGGTACCATGTCCTCAGTTTGCACCAGCCCTGGAAATTAGACTGTCAGTCCTGAAGCAGACTAGCCACCTGAAGAATAAAATTCTAAAACCAGAACCAAAATGAAAAACTAGAAGCCACCCTCACTGTGAACTCTGCTACCTAGTGGTCATAGTGTGACTAACCAAACTTCTCAGCATCTGTTTCCTTATCTCTTTTAAGAGGGTAAAAATTAATACCTGACTCATGTACTGTTGCTCAGATTACATGAGATGGAGTTTCAACCACTATGAAATCAGTGTGGAGATTCCTCAAAAAAGAAAGAAACTAGAAATGCCATTCTCTGCAGCTCTTCCCCTACTAGGTGTGTTTCCCAAAGAGGAAATGGCATCATATTACAGTGATCCATGCACACTCATGTTTATAGATGCACAACTCAATAGCTAAATCTTGGAAGCAGGCTATATGTCCATCAACAGATGAATGGATAAAGAAAACGTGGTATTTATACATGATGGAGTACTACTCTGTCATAAAGAAGGATAAAATTGAATCACGTGTAGGAAAATGGATGTACCTTGAGACCATAATGTTAAGTGAAGTAAATCAGACATGCAAGTTTCAATGTCACATGCATGGCTTCTCTAATATGAGAAACCCAAATGTATAAATAGAAAGCAAAACAAAACATACACAGTGGGAAGCCGGGAGATAGATCTTTCTCAAACAAGAAACAGAGCAAAAGATGGAGGGGGGAGGGAATGGGGACATAAGAAGAATTCAGATGTGTTATGTGCAATTACCAGTCCCTCCGGATGAATGAATGAAATTATGTACTGGGGACATGGACTAACACAAATTAAAAATAATAACAAAATAAATGAGATGGTACTTGTGGCATACCCAGAAAAAAGTCTGTTACTTAGTAATCTTCCAGAGAGTGTCAGCTCCTGCATGACAGGACGTGGAAGTCTCCAGGATACTCTAGACTCCGGTTGCACCTGGCAGACCAGCTCAGCATCTAGCACCAGGCACGGGCGGTGCTGACACTTAAGGAGGTCCCTTGATGGGCCCAGAATCCTTATCTACAGAGCACAAAAACCAGAACAGAGCGGATCCACCGGGCTCCAAAGCTCACCTCCCTCTTCCTCGCCACAGCATTAGGGCCCCTCTTTATTCCCTGATCAAAGAACAAAGAATGTCCTGGTTCCCGACCACCTCATTCGGCAAGGCAGGAGTGTTTAGCCCATGGGTGTATCACACTGGTGAACTTGAAGGGGCGTTATGCTTCCGCGTTCAATTCCGACTTCTCCAGGTAGGTGGCAGTGTGGAGCAATCAGGTGTCCAGCGTCAGCTCTCCCACCTGCAGGCATTAGTACTGAGTCCCCGGTGCTTTGGAGGGTGATAGCTACTGTGTCCAGAGGCACACATCTGCCTACAGCTCTCCCTTCTAGTTGCTGCCTTGCTAGGCAGTACAGGGCAAGGACTGAGGGGTGATGATTGCTCTAGCTGGTCGCTGTCCCCAAGGAATCCAAGTCTCTGTGTGCACCTGGACTGCGCAGGCTGGATGCTTCCCAGGGAGGCCTGGCAGCTTCCACACGTGGCAGTTCGCACACCTGGCCGGCACCCAGGCTGCATGCTGGCAGACTTTCTCCCGTCCTTAAAAAGAGGCCTTGAGCCTGCACAGTGTGGAGGTGTGGAGTGACAGATCCAATGGCTTCCTCCGGAGACTTCCTGCAGCCCAGCCTCCCGCCCATTCATAAATCCTGACGCCCATCCCGCCCATCCTTCCAATTATTCTTTCCAAGTTTTGAGAGAGCTGAATCCCTGCCATTTACATAAATCAGAGGCACTACCAGGTTAGAGGTAAACCTCCAAGAAGGGCTTTGCAAGTAATTGAAAAAAAAAAAGGCAAAAACCCAGCAGTTATTAAGCCCTAACTGAGTAATTTGCAGCTTCTTTCGCCCAAGCTAATTAAAATGTAATCGGGATTGTCTGGCAGCGTGTATTCTGTCAGCAGTTTTTCTTGGGAAGAGAAATCAAGCCAAGGGACCACAAGGCAAGCCTTTCACGGGAATTGGCTGAATCTGAACTGCTTCTGTAGCCGCTGCAACTGTAAAACAAATAAATTACCGCAGCTGACAATTCAATAAAAAGGTGGTGGGGCGATCCTCTTCCTCCCTGGGGAGGAGCTGCCGGGTTTTGTTTTGTGTTGAGGTGCTATTTAAACAATAGCGTGGCATCTTCTCAGGAGAGTGACTTTCAAGGTGGATGTGAGCGCGGTGCCGGGGACAGGCGCCCTCCTGGAAGTCCTGATAACTCACTACAGGACGCGAGGGTTGAGTTTCCCTGCTGGACAGACGCTGGAGAACACGTCCTTATCTCTTTTCTCCGAGGATGTTTGATTTCGAACAAAGGCACACCAACTTCACGACTCTAGCTCTTCAGATCCCAAATTTGAGCTCTCCGCGGGTCTCTGTCTGGCACACGTGCCAGGAAAGCCGTCCGGAGGGCTGCAGAGAGACACCCCCAAACTGCACCCTTTTGAATTTAATACCTCCTGTTCTGGCCGCTTGGCTCTCTGACTCCTGAAACCCCTCCTATGGTGAGCCCCCTTCACTCGGCCTTGGCTGGAGGGGTGCCCAGTTTATTCAAACGCAGGGGGGCTCGGTTTCCACTTCCAGCCTCCTCTGACAGCCTCCAGAGTTGTTCTTAAGGGGAAACTTGGGATCTTGCAACAGGTGGGTAGCTAAGGGGAGAGGCGAGAAGCAAAGAAGGAAGGAGACACACAAGTAGGGGACTTCAGAGCTTAGCTCCTGAGGAGTCCGGGAGCTGCCGGGATGCGTCTACCCGCACCAGGAGCTCTGCTCGAGCCCTGCCAGGGGTCCTCGCTACTGTGCAGGGTCCAAGGCGCCAGGAGTGCTACTCCCTGAGCCTCCCGCGCGCGCGTGCGCGCACACACAGAGACACACACACACACCTTTCTGCACCCTCTAGCTGGAACAACGCACTTGGGCTAGGGGAGACCCTGGCCTCGGGAATTCTTCCCCGGAGCGTCCAGGAGCTGCCCCTGCGTCCTGATGTCCTTATCCATCTCCTGCTGCTCTGTGTCCTCTGCGCCAGTCCTTACAACCCCCAGAATCCTTGGAGCTGCCAATGGGACGCGCACAGCCGCCAAAACCCGCACACACGCTGCCCTGAGTAATGTGCAGCTTATTTCGCCCAAGAGCACACGAGTCGGCCCGGGGGCCCTAGCTGCATCTCCAAGGGTGCCCAGCGAGCCCCAGATCCGCCAGGTGGGAAGGCACAGCTCAAAGCGTCCGAAGCGCCTGCAGGCTGGACACCTGCAACGCCGGGGCAGCGGGACGCGCCTCGGGAACCCCGGGGCCCCGGTGGTGGCGCCGGTGGCGGCGAGCGTCCCGGAGCTCCCTGAGTTGGTGGAACTCGTCCCCGGCGCCAAGTTGCGCGCGCTCTGGTCCCGGGCAAGTCACAAACCCACGCGGCCACCCTGGGAGTCCACAAAACTGCGCTCTCGCCGTCCCCAAGGAAGCCCCGGTTGCTTCCCCGTGGGCCGCCGGGGAGCAGGGAATCCGGGCGCGGGGAGATGCTTTGCGGACCGTGCACCCCACGCGGAGGGAAAGCGGGGCAGCACGCTGGGCGCCCGCCGAGGCTCGGAGGGAATCTCGCGCGCACCGCGGGCGCCCCCAGGGCTGCAGCGGGGACCCCGGCGGAGCGAGCGCCAGGGCCAGGGCGAGGGCCAGCGCCGGGGCGCGCGTACCTGGAAGTGGTGGAAGAAGGCGGAGATGCGCGTGATCTGCAGGCTGAGGCACCTGGAGGCGCAGCGCGCGCGCTGGACGCTCCCAGCGGACAGCGACTCGTCCAGCCGCCGCGCCGCCGCCACCAAGCCG